GGAACTGTCCCTGTATATAGCTACTGACCCTCGGAACTGTAATAGCTACTGACCGCCTGGACCCGTCCCTGTATATAGCTACTGACCCCTGGAACTGTCCCTGTATATATCTACTGACGGCCTGGAACTGTCCCTGTATATAAAGCTACGACCCTGGGGAACTGTAATATAGCACTGACCTGGAATCAGTCCTGTATTAGCTACTACTGACCCTGGAACTGAACCTGTAATAGCTACTGACCCCCTGAACTGTCCCCTGTATATTCGCTAACTGACCCTGGAAACTGTCCCATGTAATATAGCTACTGACCCTGGCACTGTCCCTGTTATATCTACTGACACTGAACTAACTGTCTGTATAGTATAGCTACTAACTGCCCTGGACCTGTCCCTGTATATAGCTTCCTGACCCTGGATCCTGTCCGCTGTATAAGCTACTGACCCTGGAACTGTCCCTGTATATAGACTACTGACCCTGAACTGTATATAGCTACTGACCCTGGAACTGTCCTATATAGCTAACTGACGCCTGGAACTGTCCCTGTATATAGCTAACTGACCTGGAACTGATATAGCTAACTGACCTGAACAGTCCCCTGTATTAGCGCCTTACTGAACCGCGAGACTGCCCTGTATATAGCTACTGACCCCCTGGAACTGGTCCCTGTATATAGCTACTGCGGACCCTGGAACTGACCCTGTATATAGCTACTCTACTGTGACCCTGGAACTGTCCTGTATATAGCTACTGATCCCCTGGAACTGTCCCTGTATTAGCTACTGACCCTGGAACTGTATATAGCTACTGACCCTTGAAACTGACCCCTGTATATAGCTTACTGACCGCTTGAACTGACACCTGTATATAGCTACTGGACCCTGGAACTCTGCCCTGTATATAGCTACGACCCTGTAACTGTATATACTACTGCCCCTGGAACTGAGCACCCTGTATAGAGCTTACGCTGACCCTTGAACTGTCCCTGTATATAGCTACTGATCCTGACTCGTCCTGTATATAGTACTGACCCTGGAACTGTCCCTGTATTGGCTAGACTACCTGACCCTGGAACTTACCCTGTATATAGCTACTGGACCGGGACTGTATATATCTAAGCTACGGACGGACCCTGTATATATCTCGAACCCTGAATTGTCCCGTCCCTGTATATATCTCACTGACCCTGGACTGACCTGTTATAGCTTAACTGACCTTTGAACTGTAAATTAGCCACGACCCTGGAACTGACCCTGTATATAGGCTACTGACCCTGGAACTGTATATGGCTCCTGACCCGTTAATAGCATTCTGAACCGCCTGGAACTGTCCCTGTATATGCTACTGACCCCGGAACTGACCCTGTATATAGCTACTGGCCCCTGGAACTTACCCTGGAATCGACCCGGAACGGTCCCTGTATCGCTACTGACCCTGGAACGGTCTGTATATAGCTAACTGACGCCGGAACTGTCCGCTGTATATGCTACTGACCCTGGAACTGTCCCCTGTATATAGCTACTGACCTGTATATAGCTACTGACCCTGGAACTTTATAGCTACTGACCCTGGATACTGACCCGTATATAGCTACTGACCCTGGAACTGTATATAGCTACTGATCCTGGAACTGACGCTGACTTACATTCTCATATCTATTTATTTGTAGTTCTACCTTGTTATTTGTAGTTTTACATTGTTATTGATACTGGCATTTGGGTTAGAGCTAAGAGCAAGAAAGGGCATTATCACTGTCCTTGGAAACTAAAGCTCGCACTCAACATTTAATTATAAACTCCTACTGCTTGCTAAACCAATTCCCCAACTCTAAAAATAATTTTCTTTTGCAGGACAAGGATTTTCCTGACTTTCAAGAATGCCTAAATTGGCTCACCTTGCTTTTCTGGTTGGATGGCAAGTTTCACCATTCAATTATTTCAGATCTACAGGAGTGCAAGTTTCACCATGTCACAGACCGTGGCAATATGTTGGCACATATGGCAAATATGAGTCAATTATTGCATTCTATCCATATCCATTCTAACTGTCGGGTGTAACGGAGACATGAAACGGATCGAGTGTGAGGGCGTACAGGCTGGTCACTATTAATTAATGAAACAAGATATAGTGGAGGGTACAGGCTGTCACTAATTAATTAATAAACGATTAGGTGGGAGGGCGTACCGGCTGTCCACTAATTAATTAATGAAACAGATCAGGGTGGAGGCGTACAGGTGTCAACTAATGTATTAATGAACAGATAGGTGGGCAGGGCGTACGCTGTCACTAATGTATTAATAAACAGAATAGGTGGGAGGGCGTACAGGCTGTCACTAATTTAATTAATGAAAATATAGGTGGGAGGGCGTACAGGCTGTCCTAATGCTATTCACTGAAACGATCGGCTTGGAAGTGGGCGTACATGCTGTCACAATGTATTCATGAAACAGATAGGTGGGAGGCGTACCGGCTGTCACTAATTTATTAATGAAACAAGATAGGTGGTAGGGCGTACAGAGCTGTCACTAATTATTATGAAAACAGATAGGTGGGAGGGCGTACGGCGTGTCACTACTTAATTAAAACAGATAGGGGGGAGGCGTACAGCCTGTCACAATTAATTATGAACCAGATAGTGGGAGGGCGTACAGGCTGTCAATGTATTAATGACACTTCAGATAGGTGGGGCCAGGGTGTACATGCTGTCACTAATTGTATATACTGAAAACAGATAGGTGGGAGGGCGTACAGGCTGTCACTAATGTATTAATGACACGATAGTGGGAGGTGCTTACGCTGTCACGATTTATTTAATGAACACAGATAGGTGGAGCGCGTACAGGCTGTCACCTATGTATTAATGAAACGTATAGGTGCGGATGGCGTACAGCTGTCACTAATTAATTAATGAAACAGATAGGTGGGAGGGCGTACAGGCTGTCACTAATGTATTAATGAAACAGATAGGTGGGAGGGCGTACAGGCTGTCACTAATGTATTAATGAAACAGATAGGTGGGAGGGCGTACAGGCTGTCACTAATTAATTAATGAAACAGATAGGTGGGAGGGCGTACAGGCTGTCACTAATTAATTAATGAACCATAGGTGGGAGGGCGTACAGGCTGTCACTAATGTATTAATGAACCAGATAGGTGGGAGGGCGTACAGGCTGTCACTAATGTATTAATGAAACAGATAGGTGGGAGGGCGTACAGGCTGTCACTAATGTATTAAATGAAACAATTCGGTGGGAGGGCGTCCGACTGTCACTAATTTATTAATGAAACAGATAGGTGGGAGGGCGTACAGGCTGTCACTAATGTATTAATGAAACAGATAGGTGGGAGGGCGTACAGGCTGTCACTAATTAAATTAATTGACCGAATAGTTGGGAGGCTTACAGCTGTCACTCATTTTTACTGAACCAGATAGGTGGTAAGGGCGTACAGGGCCGTCACTGAAATGTATTAATGAAACAATAGGTGGGAGGGCGTACAGCTGTCACTAATGTTTAATGCAACAGATATGGTGGGAGGTCGTACAGGCTGTCACTAATTATAATGAAACAGATAGGTGGTGGGGGCGTACCGGCCTGTCACTAATGTATTTAAATGAAACAGATTAGTGGGAGGGCGTACAGGCTCACTGAATTAATACTTGAAATCAGATATGTGGGAGGCGTACGGGCTGGTCACTAATTGTATTAAAATTAAACGATAGGTGGGAGGGCGTACAGGCTGTCACTAATGTATTAATGAAACAGATAGGTGGGAGGGCGTACAGGCTGTCACTAATTTGCCTAAATAGTCATGGAAACACTTCAATCACTTCAGTTTTATTCGACACGGAGGTTTTTGCAAAAACAAATGTTTTTGTATGTGTGACGTTCATTAAAATCCACAGTTTTATCGACAAACCAGTATAGTTCAATGGGAACTCACATAGCGGCAATTGTTGTCGCATCGATTTTCTATGCAAACATTCTAAATAAAAAAAAAAGGGTTTGAAAACAAAGCTATTAAGGTGAAGTCTTACAGCTGAAATGGTACCACAGTCCATTAGGGGGGGGGCGTAGCGTAACGGACTCTGTACCATGTTGGAATGAAGCCATATACTTTAACTTACAAAGTATTGCATCAAAAACGTGGGATTTCTCCTGAGACTAGCCATTTTCTATCACATGACATCAAACACAAGATTATCTTGATTGTCAACACAGAAAATGTGTTCACTAACTACTGCAATCGATATAAAATATGACCTGTTTGGAGATGGACAACACTGCACATTGTCCTAAACACTAATGCTTTAACCCTCTATAGAGCGTCTTCCACCTGTCTGGCAGGGGAGATCAATAGACCGACTGGATCCAGGGGAGGGGATCAGTCTGGCAGGGGACATCAACAGACCGACTGGATCCAGGGGAGGGGATCAGTCTGGCAGGGGACATCAACAGACCGACTGGATCCAGGGGAGGGGATCAGTCTGGCAGGGGACATCAACAGACCGACTGGATCCAGGGGAGGGGATCAGTCTGGCAGGGGAGATCAACAGACCGACTGGATCCAGGGGAGGGGATCAGTCTGGCAGGGGACATCAATAGACCGACTGGATCCAGGGGAGGGGATCACAGCACAGACTAACTGACGGGAAGGAATGGTCAACGTTGTAACAATCAATAAACTCTTAACTTAAACTTCATATATTCTTAAGGAAATATAATGCAAATACTGTGAAATAAAATGTAATATATTTATATTGTATACAAGCAGACTCTAACATGTATACTCCACATCTTAAATAGCATTTACATATATGATTCATTTGCAATTATTAACTTTGACAAAAATTATAATAATCAGAATTATATAGGTAATATTACAAATTCTATCAAATATGGAAGCTTTAAAAAGGAAAAAATGAAGACATTTATAGGCTCATCCTTTCGGCCGACTGGTCTGGGCAGCAGAGGGAGGTCAGGGGTCAGGGTATAGCAGCTCCCTACAGAGCAGTCTCTTTCAAGTCATTGAGATTTGGAATGCGTGAGCGTGAGGGCCGTCCGAACCCGTGTCCATTCTGGCCCCCCTTGCCTTCCTTCCCTCCATGTTGCTCGGGGTAAGGGTTTCCCTCAGCTCTGCCCAGGGCCGAGGTGTGCCAGCTGGACTCCATCTGACTAGGGAGGGGGTAGGCGGCCTGCCTGCTCTTCAGCTGAGGGGTGCTGGAGCCTGCGTGGCTCCGACCGGGACCCTCGCTGAACCCCGCTTTAGCTGAGGTGGGGTTGGGCAGGGGCTGGAAGCGCATATCAGATGGAGCCGTTTGATTGGAGGAGGAGGAGAGGTGAAGGAGCTTGCGTAGAGACTTGAGAGGCTGGCTCTGAGGGGTAAGAATACGCAATAAAACAAACATATCTGTCCAATATATGATACAGTGTTATGGAGTTATTTGTCTGTCATGATTTAGTAGCAGATGCTACCTCAGTAGAGTTGTGAAACAACAGTGGAATGCTAGAGTTAGCTGGAGCTCTGGAAATAACTGATCTGTCTAAATAGACAGCTGTTGCCAGAAACACCCACCTACACACCTAACCCTAAACCAGGGAAAAAAAAACACCCACCTACACACCTAACCAGAAAACCAACACCCACCTACACACCTAACCCTAACCAGAAAACCAACACCAACCCACACACCTAACCCTAACCAGAAAACCAACACCCACCTACACACCTAACCAGAAAACCAACACCCACCTACACACCTAACCCTAACCAGAAAACCAACACCCACCCACACACCTAACCAGAAAACCAGCACCCACCCACACACCTAACCAGAAAACCAACACCCACCCACACACCTAACCAGAAAACCAACACACACCTAACCTGAAAACCACACCACCTACACCCCCTAAACCCCAACCAGAAAACCAACACCCACCTACACACCTAACCCGAAAACCAACACCCACCTACACACCTAACCCTAACCAGAAAAAAAAAACCCCCCCACCCCACAACTAAAACCCCAACCAGAAAAACACCCACCTACACACCTACCAGAAAAACCAACACCCACCTACACACCCAACCCTAAACAAAACCAACACCCAAAACCCCCACCTAACCCAACCAGAAAACCAACACCCACCCACACACCTAACCAGAAAACCAACACCCACCCACAAAACCTAACCCAAAAAACCAACACCCACCCACAAAAACCTAACCAGAAAACCAACACCCACCTACACACCTAACCCTAACCAAAACCAACACCCACCTACACACCTAACCCTAACCAGAAAACCAACACCCACCCACACACCAACCCTAACCAGAAAACCAACACCCACACCACCAACCCTAACCAAAACAAAACCCAACACCCAAACAAACCCAAACCAGAAAACCAACACCCACTAACAAACCTAAACCAACCAGAAAACCAACACCACCCACACACCTAACCAGAAACCAACACCACCTACCCCACTAACCTAACCAGAAAACCAACACCCACAACAAAACCTAACCAAAACCAACACCCCCCTACCACCACCTAACCAAAAAAACCAACACCCACCTACACACCTAACCCTAACCAGAAAACCAACACCCACCTACACACCTAACCCTAACCAGAAAACCAACACCCACCTACACACCTAACCCTAACCAGAAAACCAACACCCACCCACACACCAAACCCTAACCAGAAAACCAACACCCACCTACACACCTAACCCTAACCAGAAAACCAACACCCACCCACACACCAAACCCTAACCAAAACCAACACCACCTACACACCTAACCCCCAACCAGAAAACCAACACCCACCCCCCACACCTAACCCTAAACCCGAAAAACCAAAACCCACCTCACCTACCAACCAGAAAACCAACACCCACCTACACACCTAACCCTAACCAGAAAACCAACCCCCACCTACACACCTAACCAGAAAACCAACACCCAACCAACACCTAACCCTAACCAGAAAACCAACACCCACCTACACACCTAACCAGAAAACCAACACCCACCTACACACCTAACCCTAACCAGAAAACCAACACCCACCTACACACCTAACCCTAACCAGAAAACCAACACCCACCTACAACACGAACCCTAACCAGAAAAAACAAAACTACCAAACCCCAACCACCTAACCAGAAAACCAACCCACCTACACACCAACCCTAACCAGAAAAACCAACAACCCACCCAACCCACCTAACCCTAACCAGAAAAACCAAACCCAAACCCACCCACCCTAACCAGAAAAACCCAAAACCCACCTACACACCTACCAACCAAAAAACCCAATAACCAAGAAAACACCCACCTACCACCTAAACCTAAACCCGGAAAACCAACACCCACCTACACACCTAACCCTAACCAAAAACCAACACCCACCTACAACCAACCCCAACCAGAAAACCACCACCCCCTCACACCTAACCCAACCAGAAAACCAACACCCACCTACACACCTAACCGAAAACCAACACCCACCTACACCCTAACCCTAACCAAAAACCAAACACCCACCACAACCTAACCCTAACCAGAAACCAACACCCACCCACCCCCCAACCTAACCAGAAAACCCCCACCCACCCACCCCCTAACCTAACCAAACAACACCCACCCAACACCTCCAACACCCAGACAACCCAAAACCAAAAACCCAAACCCACCAACCTAACCAACAGAAAAACCCCAAACCCACCCACCAACACACCTAACCTAAAGAAAACCAAACCCACCTACACACCAACCCTAACCAGAAACCACAACACCAACACCTACCAAACCCAAAAACACCCAACCACCACCTAACCCTAACCAGAAACCAACACCCACCTACACACCTAACCAAACCAGAAAACCAAAACCCCCCACCCACCTAACCAAAAACAACCACCTCAAACCCTAACCCGACAAAACCAAAAACCCACCTACACACCTAACCAGAAAAAACCCAAAACCCACCTACACACCTAACCCTAACCAGAAAACCAACACCCACCTACACACCTAACCCTACAAAAAACCAACACCCACTACACACCTAACCCTAAACCCAAAACCAACACCCAACCACCACCCCTAACCAGAACCAAAACCCAAACCAACACCCTAAACCTAACCCAAACCAAAAAAACCCCACCTCCCCACCTAACCTAAACCCGAAAACCAACACCCACCTACAACACCTACCCAACAGAAAACCAACACCCCCCCTACCCCCTAACCAGAAAACCAACAACCACCCTACACACCTAACCCTAACCAGAAAACAACCAAACCACACACCTAAAACCCTAACCAGAAACCAACACCCACCACCCCACCTAACCCTAACCCCGAAAACCAACACCCCCACCCCCAACCCTAACCAGAAAACCAACACCCACCTACACACCTAAACCCTAACCAGAAAAAACCCAAAACCCCCTACAACACCCTAACCAGAAAAAACCCAAAACCCAACCTACACACCTAACCCCTAACCCGAAAACCAACACCCACCCACACAAACCCCCAACCAGAAAACCACACCCACCTACCCCCAACAGAAACCAACACAAACCAACCCTAACCAGAAAAACAAAAAATACCAAAAAAACCAGAAAAAAACAAAATAAAAAACCTAAACCAAAACCCTAACGAGAAACCAACACCACCCAAAACCTAAAACATAACCCGAAAACCAAAACACACCCAAACAACAAAAAGGAAACCAAAAAAAACAAAAACCCAAAACCCTAAAAACGAAAACAAAACCAAAACACCAAAAAAACCCACCCTAAAACTAAACAGAACACCCAAACCACAAAAACCACCAAAAACAAAAACCACCACCCTAACCTAACCAAAAAAACCAAACAAACCACAACCAACCAAAAAACCAACAAAACCCAAACTCAAAAACACACCACCACCCCTAACCCGAAAACCAACACCCAAACCTACACATAAACCCTAACCGAAAACCACCCCCCACCCACCCCTAACCAGAAAACAACACCCACCACACACCTAACCCTAAACCCAAACCAACCACCCACCACCACCAACCAAAACCAAACAACCAACACCTAACCCTAACAAAACCACACCCACCACACACAACACCAGAAAACCAACCCCCCTCAATTTAACAAAAACAACCCCCCACACACCTAACCCAAAAAAAAAACAAAAACACTAACCCCAAAAAAAAAACCCAAATAACCAGAAAAAACCAACACCCACCACACACAACCCCAACCAGAAAACCAACCACCCACCTCAACCTAACCCAAAAACCAACACCCACCCACACAACCTAACCCTAACCAGGGAAAAAAAACCCCACCCACCCCCCTAACCCTAACCAGAAAAACCAACACCCACCTACACACCTAAACCCCAACCAGAAAACCCAAAACCCCCCCTACACAACCCCAACCCAAAGAAACCACACCCAAACCCACACACCTAACCCTAACAGAAAACCAACACCCACCCACCCCAACCTAACCCTAACCCGAAAACCAACACCCACCCACAAAACCTAACCCAGAAAACCAACAACCCACTCACACCTAACCCCTACCAAAAACCACCACCCCCAACACACCAAAAAACCAACAACCCACCCCTTAACGAAACCCCCACCCACCCCTAACCAGAAAACCAACACCCACCCACAACCTAAAAAAAAACAGAAAAAAAAACCCAAACACCGAAAAAACCCAAAACCACCCTAACACAGAAAAAAAACCCCCACCACCGCACCTACCAGAAAACCAAACCCCCCAAAAACTAACCAGAAAACCAACACCCCACTACAACCCCTCCAGAAACCAAAACCCCACCCACACCCTAACCTAAAAAAAAACACCCACCGACACACCTAACCCTAACCAGAAAACCAACACCCACCCACCCACCCCTAACCAGAAAACCAACACCCACCTAACACCACCTAACCAGAAACCACCACCCACAACACCATCACCCTAACCAGAAACCAACCCCCCACCCACCTAACCAGAAAAACCAACCCCCCCCCCAACCCTAACAGAAAAAAACCCCCCACAACATAACCAAAAAAAAACCCAAAAACACCAAAAACCCAACCATAAAAAAAACAACAAAACAACCAAAACCAACCCGAAAACACCCCCCCTACCAGAAAAACAACAACAAACACCTAACCCTACCAGCCAAACCCCACTACACACTCACCCACCCTGCCCTGTAAGGCTGTAAATCCTCCAGTATTCTCCATGCCAGACTCATAGCATTCAGACTTCATTTCAACATGAACTATCTAGAAAAAGATCAATGAGGCAGTTGACATTGCTCAGGATATGGGTTAGGGCGGGGTGCGGGTTTAGGGGTCAGGGTTTACCACAGACGGAAGAGGAAGTGAGACATCCCACTCGCTGTTTGTTTCTGGTTCATATACAGTCAATACAGTATAAAAAAATAAAAATAAAATGCACTCACTAACTGTAAGTCGCTCTGGATAAGAGCATCTGCTAAATGACTAAAATGTAAAAAAATTATAAAATGTAAAAATGTAATGAACTAAGCAGACCAGACCCAGCTGCTATCGCATTGGTGTCTATGAGAGCCACGCCGCTAAGTAGACCGAAACTGACGGCTTGAGTGAACTATCTTCATTTATCCACCATCTTTGGCTTTACCTGACAGTGTGCATCAGATATTTTTTCTGATGGCCAGTTTCTCTCCCGTGATTGGTCTCTGTCTCTCTCCCGTGATTGGTCCCGCTCCTGGTTCCGGTGGTGGCTGCTCTGATGACCCGATGACCGGGCGGACTTCTGGACGACCATGTGATCCGCCCCATCACCTGGGACCTATTACCACACAGAGGTCAGAGGTTAAATGCCACCACTCAGCCCAGAACCCCAGAACCTTCCCCTGGAACCCCAGAACATCCCCCCTGCAACCCCAGAACATCCCCCCTGCAACCCCAGAACATCCCCCCTGCAACCCCAGAACATCCCCCCTGCAACCCCAGAACATCCCCCCCTACAACCCCAGAACAGAGGAGCCTCTGTCTGTCTGTCTGTCTGTCTGTCTGTCTGTCTGTCTGTCTGTCTGTCTGTCTGTCTGTCTGTCTGTCTGTCTGTCTGTCTGTCTGTCTGTCTGTCTGTCTGTCTGTGTGTCTGTCTGGCTCCTACTGGTCATCCATCTCATATTGTCAAGAAAACATAGAGAGGAGGCATCTAGTGGGTATTCTAGTATCAGAGGAGCATTGTCACCTTTTACTGATACGATCTGATGAGTTTGACATATTCATCATATCTATTGTATCATGCAGACCATATTCAATCTTCCACAGCTACCTGGGCTCTGTCTGCAGGAATAGACCTCTGTCTTCCCTTCCTGTGTATGTCTGTGTCTCCTGTGATAATGGGATGGATCCATTGTGTCTGCTCCTGGTGATTCATTTTAAAGAGTTACCATTATGCTACAAGGTGTGGGTTGGACTGCAATAGTCCCTAAAGACCGTGGCTAACCTCTGTTCTCTCTGTCTGTAGAACTGGAGGATATTCTGGCGTACAGCAGGGAAGATAATCTGGGGTAGAGCAGGGGGGATAATCTGGAGTAGAGCAGGGGGGATATTCTGGCGTATAGCAGGGAGGATAATCTGGGGTAGAGCAGGGAGGATAATCTGGGGTAGAGCAGGGAAGATAATCTGGGGTAGAGCAGGGAGGATAATCTGGAGTAGAGCGGGGAGGATATTCTGGGGTACAGCAGGGAAGATAATCTGGGGTAGAGCAGGGAGGATAATCTGGGGTAGAGCAGGGGGGATAATCTGGAGTAGAGCAGGGGGGATATTCTGGGGTACAGCAGGGAAGATAATCTGGGGTAGAGCAGGGAGGATAATCTGGAGTAGAGCAGGGGGGATAATCTGGAGTAGAGCAGGGGGGATATTCTGGGGTACAGCAGGGAAGATAATCTGGGGTAGAGCAGGGAGGATAATCTGGAGTAGAGCAGGGAGGATATTCTGGGGTACAGCAGGGAAGATAATCTGGGGTAGAGCAGGGAGGATAATCTGGGGTAGAGCAGGGGGGATAATCTGGAGTAGAGCAGGGGGGATATTCTGGGGTACAGCAGGGAAGATAATCTGGGGTAGAGCAGGGAGGATAATCTGGAGTAGAGCAGGGAGGATATTCTGGGGTACAGCGGGGAAGATAATCTGGGGTAGAGCAGGGAGGATAATCTGGGGTAGAGCAGGGGGGATAATCTGGAGTAGAGCAGGGGGGATATTCTGGGGTACAGCAGGGAAGATAATCTGGGGTAGAGCAGGGAGGATAATCTGGGGTAGAGCAGGGGGGATAATCTGGAGTAGAGCAGGGGGGATATTCTGTGGTAGAGCAGGGAGGATATTCTGGGGTAGAGCAGGGGGGATAATCTGGGGTAGAGCAGGGGGGATATTCTGGGGTAGAGCAAGGGGGATATTCTGGGGTAGAGCAGGGAGGATATTCTGGGGTACAGCAGGGAGGATATTCTGGGGTACAGCGGGGGGTTCATCTGGGGTAGAGAAGGGAGGATATTCTGGGGTAGAGCAGGGAGGATATTCTGGGATACAGCAGGGAGGATATTCTGGGGTAGAGCAGGGAGGATATTCTGGGGTGGAGCAGGGAGGATAATCTGGGATACAGCAGGGAGGATATTCTGGGGTAGAGCAGGGAGGATATTCTGGGGTACAACATGGGGGATATTCTGGGGTAGAGCGGGGAGGATATTCTGGGATACAGCGGGGAGGATATTCTGGGGTAGAGCGGGGAGGATATTCTGGGATACAGCGGGGAGGATAACGTGCACCTGGAAGATCCCTTCCCCTCACCCCGACCCCTCCGCATGCTGTCAGCTGCCTGCCTGTACAGCTGGAGTCACAGGTGACAACAGAATCAGAATCCCGTAGACCCACAGAATGAGGACAGGAAAGTGAAACTACCCAACAACAGATCCATGAAGTGACTGAAATAACCCTTTCTGAAGGGCCCTGTCTGGTCAGATTGTCCTTATTTTGAATATGAACATTTTGAGAGAGAGGATTCAATCCATGTGACCATAACACCATATTATAAATCAGCTTTGGAGTGAATTGTGGTGGTTCCATTTTGATTGAACACTTCAAATAAGGCTCTCATGATATCACCTTTAGGGTTAGGCTCTCATGATATCACCTTTAGGGTTAGGCTCTCATGATATCACCTTTAGGGTTAGGCTCTCATGATATCACCTTTAGGGTTAGGCTCTCATGATATCACCTTTAGGGTTAGGCTCTCATGATATCACCTTTAGGGTTAGGCTCTCATGATATCACCTTTAGGGTTAGGCTCTCATGATATCACCTTTAGGGTTAGGCTCTCATGATATCATCCTGACCAAAGTAGCATGTATCTAGCTATGTGATTGGGTTAGGGTTAGGGGTTAGGGTTAGGGTTAGGGTTAGGGGTTAGGGTTAGGGTTAGGGTTAGTGATGTGATTAAAGTACACTATAAGAGTACGCTATAGGGTTAGGGTTAGGGTTAGGGTTAGTGATGTGATTAAAGTACACTATAAGAGTACGCTATAGGGTTAGGGTTAGTGATGTGATTAAAGTACACTATAAGAGTACGCTATAGGGTTAGGGTTAGGGTTAGGGGTTAGGGTTAGGGTTTAGGGGTTAGGGTTAGGGTTAGGGTTAGTGATGTGATTAAAGTACACTATAAGAGTACGCTATAGGGTTAGGGTTAGTGATGTGATTAAAGTACACTATAAGAGTACGCTATAGGGTTAGGGTTAGGGTTAGGGGTTAGGGTTAGGGGTTAGGGGTTAGGGGTTAGGGGTTAGGGGTTAGGGTTAGGGTTAGTGATGTGATTAAAGTACACTATAAGAGTATGCTATAGGGTTAGGGTTAGGGGTTAGGGGTTAGGGTTAGGGTTAGGGTTAGTGATGTGATTAAAGTACACTATAAGAGTACGCTATAGGGTTAGGGTTAGGGGTTAGGGGTTAGGGGTTAGGGTTAGGGTTAGTGATGTGATTAAAGTACACTATAAGAGTACGCTATAGGTCTACATACTAATCTCCCTGATGACATCGTGGTTGATCACTTGATGGATCTGGTTGGTTCTAGTTTCATAATGATCATAATGATTAGATACCAGACAGGAGGAGATGAATTACAGTTGGGTTAGGGGTAGGGGTTGAAAACAAAGTACGGTAGAAGGAGAGGAGAAAACCGGGGGTTTAGATAGTACTGTAGAGAGGAGAGGGGGCCCAAGGGGGTTTAAAAAACTATTTACTGTAGAGAGGAAGGGGAGAACCATGGGGTTAGACTAGTACTTGAGAGGAGAGGGACCCCATGGGTTAGACTAGTACTGTAAGAGGAGGGAAGGAGGGGGACCCCCGGGGGGGTTTAGACTAGTACTGAGAGAGGAGAGGGAGACACCAGGGGGTTTAGCTAGTACTGTAGAGAGGAGAGGAGCCCACCAGGGGGTTTGACTAGTACGTAGAGGGAGGGGAGACACCAGGGGGTTTGGGATTTATTTACTGTCGAGAGGAGAGGAGACACCAGGGGGTTTTGGACTATTTCCGTCGGAGGAGGGAGAAAACCAGGGTTAGATATTACGGTAGAGAGGAAAAGGAAAGACACCATGGGGTTTTGACTAGTACTTTTAGAGAGGAGAGGGGGACACCAGGGGGTTAGACTAGTACTGAGAGAGGAGGGAGACAACCATGGGGTTAGCTAGTACTGTAGGAGGGAGGGGGGGAACACCAGGGGGGTTAGACTAGTACGGTAGAGAGGAGGGGAGAACACCATGGGGTTTAGACTAGAAATGTAGAGGGGAAAGAGGGGGAAAACACCAGGGGGGTTAGACAGTACTGTGAGAGGAGGGAGACCCCCAGGGGGTTTTAGACTAGTACTGTAGAGGGGAAAGGGGGGGGGAGACACCATGGGGTTTATTTTTGTACTTTTTAGAGGGAGAGGAGACACCATGGGGTTAGACTAGTACTGTAGAGAGGAGAGGAGACACCATGGGGTTAGACTAGTACTGTAGAGAGGAGAGGAGACACCATGGGGTTAGACTAGTACTTTTAGAGAGGAGGGGAAAAGGGAACACCATGGGGTTAACTAGTATGTAGAGGGGGAGAGGAGACACATGGGGTTTAGACTAGTACTGTTAGAGGGGGAGAGGGGGACACCATGGGGTTTAGACTATACTGTAGAGGGGGGGACCCCATGGGGTTAGACAAAGTACGAAAAGGAGAGGAGGGGGAAAACCCCCCCAAAAGGGGGTTGACTGAAAGGTAGAGAGGAGGGGAGACACCATGGGGTTAAAATAACGGGTAGAGGGGAGGGAGACACCAGGGGTTGACTAGTACGTAGAGAGGAGAGGGGGAAACACCAGGGGGTTGGGATTTAGTACTGTAGAGAGGAGAGGGGGACCCCAGGGGGTTGACTAGTACTTTTAGAGAGGAAGGGGGGGGGGACACCATGGGGTTTAGACTAGTACTGTAGAGGGGAGAGGAGACCCCTTTGGGGTTAAAAATAGTCTGTAGAGAGGAAAAAGGGAACAACCCATGGGGTTAGACTAGAAATGTAGAGGGGGAGAGGAGGCCCACAGGGGTTTTAGACTGTACTGTAGAGAGGAGAGGAGCCCCCAGGGGGTTAAAATAGTATTTGTAAAAGAGGGGGAGGGGACCCTTTGGGGTTTAAAATGACTGTAGAGAGGAGAGGAGACACCATGGGGTTAGACTAGTACTGTAGAGAGGAGAGGAGACACCATGGGGTTAGACTAGTACTGTAGAGAGGAGAGGAGACACCATGGGGTTAGAATATTACTGTGAGAGGAGGGGGAGACCCCGGGGGGGGTTTTTAGATAGTACTGTAGAGGGAGAGGAGACACCAGGGGGTTTAGACGGCCCGTAGAGAGGAGGGGAACCAGGGGTTAGATAGTATGTAGAGAGGAGAGGGACCCCCCTGGGGTTAGACTAGTACTTTTAGAGAGGAGAGGAGACACCAGGGGGGTTAAAATAGTACTGTCGAGAGGAGGGAGACCCCCTGGGGTTAGACTAGTATGTAGAGGGAGAGGAGACACCAGGGGTTAGCCTGTACTTTAGAGAGGAGGGAAAAAACCATGGGGTTAGAATTTACGGTAGGAGGGGAAAGGGAGACACCATGGGGGTTAGTATATGTAGAGAGGAGAGGAGAACCAGGGGGGTTGACTGTACTGTAGGAGAGGGAGAGGAGAAAACCAGGGGGTTTGGGACTATTTATGTAAGGAGGAGAGGGACCCCAGGGGGTTAGACATTTACTGTAGAGAGGGGGAGGGGGACACCAGGGGGGTTGGGCTAGTACTGTTAGAGAGGAGAGGAGACACCAGGGGGTTGACTAGTTGTAGAGAGGAGAGGAGACCCCCAGGGGGTTGGGAACTAGTATGTAGGAGGAGAGGAG